GGCTATTTAAGGGTTTTTGGGTCATTGTCTCCTTTAAATTTTTCCTTTCTCTACTTTGCCAAATTTATTTAATATGCTTCTATTTTTTTAAAGTAAAACAATATGGTAAAACTTTTTGTTCCTCTGGAAACATTCAGATAAAAATACTATTTCAACCTATTCCTTATAACAGTTACGTTTCTAATTTTATATGTTGATTCAAAAATAAAAATTTAAGATACCAAATTCCTTATTTTTTGAAGTATTGATAGTTATACACAACCTCTTATAACTGTCACTGTGCAATAAGTTCTCAAAGCAATAGAAATAGATATTTGCCCATTATTACATGAAAAATATAATAAAAACTAAAGCCCTCAATGGCCACAGTAGAACACCAAAACAATGGGTTCTAGGACCTAAAATCTTCTTGTAATTATAGCTTGATTATTCTTAAAATGCTATAGGTTAAGAGATACAATATATGAGATTTCTCAGAGAACCATGCAGCCTAATGGATAAGGTGTCTGACACTGGATATATGGGGTTTCCTTTTAATTACTCTAGCAGGCATAAGGACAAACTGGGGGCTGGTGGATAGATGAAAGGGATAGATGAAACTAGCACAACTGCGTATAACACTGATAATTGCTGAAGCTGGGTGGTAAGTGAACCGGTGTTCCTTATTTTTTTTAATTTACTATATGTTTGAGGGGCGCCTGGGTGGCTCCGTGGGTTAAAGCCTCTGCCTTCGGCTCAGGTCATGATCCCAGGGTGGGGAATCGAGCCCCGAGTCGGGCTCTCTGCTCAGCGGGGAGCCTGCTTCCTCCTCTCTCTCTGCCTGCCTCTCTGCCTACTTGTGATCTCTGTCTGCCAAATAAATAAAAACATTAAAAAATTTAAAAAATTAAAAAAAATTTACTATATGTTTGAAAAACTCTATGATAAAAGTTAAAAAGGAGTCAGAGTTCTAAAAGCGCTACTTACAATGACAACTAAAGCAAACTCCACGGCAGGTCCAAAACAATAAAATGAACAAATAAAAAAGACCGATTATAAAACAAAGCTCCAAGTGGTCTATACAGTAATTTTGCTTTTTTATCTTTATAGTCAAATGAAAAAACAAGTATTTACCAATAAGCTCAAGGCTATTTAAAAGTTGTATGATAGGTTATGATCGCCACCTACTGGACACTGTGATTAACTGCTTGCTACAGAAAGCAGATTACTGCTTGCTAGAGTAATAAATGCCCCCAACTCCCGTCAAGCATCTGGTCCTTCACTAGCCAATTCGTAATCATACCATTAAATTTACGTTCACATGTATGTTTATATGAGTAATATTAATTAATGTTATATTACATAACTTCTAGCGACATGAAATGCCACCTGCAAAAAGTATATCATAAAATTTTGTCAGAAAGTATAGTGGTGATCATTTTATGATGTCCTTATTTTACAGAAGATTCCAGATTTTGAACTGTTTTTTTCACAGAGAACCCAGAATTTAAATCATTTACACAGAGAGATAGACCAGAAACCTATAATTAGTCCTGGTTCTTAAATTTGGTACATTATCTTTTTATTATCCCAGTTTTAAGAGATACCTGTAATTTTAATTACAAATTTTACTTTTCTTTATAACCTAGCTAATTGTGTATACCAGTGAGTCTCAGTCGTGGTGCATTAGAATTACCTGTGGATTTTTTTTTTTTTTTTTTTTTAAGTAGGCTCCATACCCAACATGGGGCTTGAACTCACAACACTGAAATTAAGAGTTGTGTGCTCTACTGAGCCAGCCAGGTGCCCCTAGAATTTTTATTTTATTATTTTTTTATTTTTTAAAGATTTTATTTATTTATTTGACAGAGAGAGATCACAAGTAGATGGAGAGGTAGGCAGAGAGAGAGAGAGAGAGGGAAGCAGGCTCCCCGCCAAGCAGAGAGCCCGATGCGGGACTCGATCCCAGGACCCTGAGATCATGACCTGAGCTGAAGGCAACGGCTTAACCCACTGAGCCACCCAGGTGCCCCAACCCCCTAGAATTTTTAAATAAACTGTTGCTGGTACCAGAGCCAGAGATTTTTTTTTTTTTTTTTAATCTAGCCAGGATTAACAGAGCCATTAGTAAATAACAGGGGTTCTCAAAAGTGTTATCCATGGAATGGCAATATCATCACCTGGGAATTTGTTAGAAATGAAAATTTTCAAGGGCCACCAACGACTGCTAAGCAGAACCTAGAAATTTGTGACTGTGAGCCTACCAGGTGATATCCTTGGATGCAGGTTAAAGTTTGAATATCCCTAGTACTTAATATAAAATTTTTAAGTTTTTATTCTCTTTAAATAGAAGATTTAATTTTCTGTTCTCTAAGAAGAATATAAAATGATAATACAAAAGAGAAAGATATTTACATTAAGGGTAATCTAGCACGGTTCTATTTTTCCAGAAATAAACCATTATAAACACCCAACTCAACATTAGTTCTAGTTAAGGAAAAATGCTTAATGGAAGGGTAGGGAATAATTTATTCACAGGCCAGTTAATAAAACCCTGGAATGTTCTCGCCCAGAACAACTTTTCCAACCGTATTTCCTTGTTCTGGTTTGTTCTGATCACAAAGGCACCTTTCTAATTCATAATTAAGACTTCTAGCCATATCACACCTTTTAACCCAGGAATATCACTGCTAAGAATAAAGAGGAAAATAAATTATACTCAATGATTTTCTCCAAAGCACTGTAAATAACAGAGGAGGGGGATCTGAAAGCAAGTTAAATGTCCAACAATGAAGAAATGATTCCATAAATTACAGCATCAATAGGATGGAATATTGCTCAACCATTAAAATGATGTTTTCCACAGAGATTTTAAATAATATGGAAAAATGCTTACTTTATAGCATCGTATGTGTATGTTCTCTCTCCCTCTTTCTGTCTCTGTTGATTGAAAAAGACAATGAAGAGCACCAAAATATTATTGCTGGTTATCTCTGAGTAGTAGGATTATGAATAGATTTATTTCTTTATATTTATTAGTTTTTAAAACTTTCCATCATAGGAGTATGTTTAATCTACTAATCAGAAGATCTATAAATATAATAATAGAATGTCTATTCTAAATTAGGATCTTCAAATAGTGATTAATCAGTAAGCTTTCAAAACACAGTAACTGGGGAAAACAAGTACCTTTTTCTCTCCCCATCCTACACTACTCTTTTCTCATAGATCTCCTTCTAGCACTAATTTCTACTTGCTTTACACAGCTTTGCCATAACCCTGTAACCAGAGATACGAAGACACTGAAGTATAATTATCCAATGTTTTTACAATTTTAAACTGTTCAGCTAAACAGTTTGATTTTTCCTAGAACATGTAAAAAGGAGATCAAACACCCTGTTATGTGGTTCAGAGAACAGACTTTAAAATCAGACAGATTTAGGTTTGAGTCTTACTTTAGGGGAGCTCACACAAGTCTCAAATTCCTTACCCTGTAGGTGGGAGTACCAGCTGTCCCTCACTGAGCTGCGGAGAGGATGCATGTAAAACACAAGACAGCAGCAGGCACTCAACAAAAAATACTATTACTGTTTTGGAGTTAATGTTAAAGTTGGTTTTGGTGGGGCGCCTGTGTGGCTCAGTCGGTTAAGCATCTGCCTTCAGCTCAGGTCATGATCTCACAGTCCTGGATCGAGCCCTGCGTCAGGCTGCCTGCCCCACAGGGAGTCTGCTTGTCCCTCTGCCTGCATGTGCTCTCTCTCTCGCTCAAATAAATAAATAAAATCTTTTTTTTAAAAAGCTGTTTTTGATAAACAGCCCTCAAATTTTAATTTTCCTGTGGGAAAAAGCTTAATGAGGTGCCCTGGTGGCTCACGGTCATTCGGACTTCTCCAACCACTTGTGTTTCAGAAACAATTTGGGAAGTGCCAAAATACTCTTTACAGAGTGGGTGTTACTAAACCCACCAACAAACTTTTCAACACTATCACTTCACGAAAGCAGCATGTGAACATCTGCAAAAAAAGGTAGTCTCTGAGTAAAGGACATCATCCCAAAAAAAGGACAGTGAGCAATTGCATGCCAAAATTATCCTTATGTTTTCCATTTTGTCACCTACCAGTAAATACTTAAAGACCAACAACAGTTTGCAAACTGACACTTGAGGAAAGGCACTCAACTTCCTAGCCTAACTCTTCCCATTAAATGAAGTTTTTCTATTTACATCATGGGATGTTCGTTCAACAAACACTAATCAAACCTACTAGTTGCTATTAAAGGAATTTAAGCTCAAATGAGGTTAAGTATGTGAAAACATGATTCACTGTATGTATTTTGCAAGGTAACATTAAGTTATATACTACTGTTATTATTAAAAAAACCCACAAATATTACAAATTAATTCCTAAAAGAAAAAAAGATTTCCCTCCCACGTTTTAATGTCTAGCTCATTTTCTATACTCATGCTATCACAAATGACATTTAGAATTTTTAGAATAAACATATGCCACACTTTTTCTGTAGAAAATAGTCATATTTGTGATATAGCTCATGACTCTGCCATTCTCTGTCTCATGAAAATTAAGAATATTACTTTTCTCTCAGAATAGTATGGCTCCCAAGGGAAAGTTATTAAGCTAGAATTACCAGCATGCAGAATCTGAATTCTAAGGAAGACAATTTAGGAAGATTTAAAATATAGGTTTAGACAGAGAAAATTTTATTTTCTTATTTTTGAAAGTATTGTGGGGTGCCTGGGTGGCTCAGTCAGTTAAGTGTCTGCCTTTGGCTCAGTTCATGATCTTGGAGGCCCAGGATCAAGCCCACATTGGGATCCCTGCTCAGTGGGGAATGTGCTCCTTCCTCTGCCCCTCACCTTGCTCGTGCTCTCTCTCTCTCAAATAAATATATAGGATCTTAAAAAAAAAAAAAAAAAAAAAAGAAAGAAAGTAAGTGTTGTAAGATTTTCCAAGTGTTAAAATTCACTGTCAAGTACAATGATTGAGAAATAACAAGACACCAAATGTAGAAATTATATAGTTTTATAATTTTCTCTGTTGCTTCTTAATCCACTGAAAATAATTTCATAATAGAATATTTTTAGGCATCTTCTCGTTACTTTCTTCGGTTTCTACTTCTTTAGGCAACAATGGCTTGATCTTTAGTAACAAACCTTCACTTGTTGAACTACGAAGGAAAGCTCGTACCACGAAAGGTCCTGGAAACAAGGACAAGAATCAACTTTTTATTTTATTCCATAAATAGAATAGAAAAAAATATAGCCAATAGAAACATACAACAACAAACCTTATAAAACTTACATTATATTTTCCCCTTGAAAAATACTGATATTACTGAAGTAATATTTTTAATTACAAGGAATATCATCTCACGTCTAGAGTAGAAGACTAACTGTACTCTAGCATACCATCCTTAAAGCTACACATTCTATAATAATTAATTTCTCTCTTCCAGAAGATGACCACCTAGAATGTATCTGACTGCGAAGCTTGAAAGTGAAGGGAGCAGGGGTGATATTTACATTGGACGGCAATATTCTAAATATTTATTTGAAACAGCACCGATGCTATTCTGTGTTACTGAACATTTAGTAAAATTCCCTAAAAATTAGAAGGCTTTTCATAAGAACAATTAAGGGACTTCATTTAAAATGCTAAAAAAAAAAAGATGGATAGTTCAGGATGGCAGCATAAGAAGATCCTTAACTCACCTCTTCTCACAGACACAGCAAATCTACAACTACATGTGGAATACATTCCTCAAAGAAGTCCTGAAGACTACCTGAGCAGCATCTCCATAACAGAAGATAAAAGGGCTGCACTGAGAGAGGCAGGAAAGTCAAAGATCACACTCTGCAAAAGCCCCATCCCAGGCAAGGTTACCAACAATCAGGAGGGATCTCAAAAATACAGAACTTTTCCCTGGTGACCAAGGGTTCTGTCTTCCACACCAGGCACCCCAACCACTGTGTCCTGTACCAGAGAGATGAGCTCCCAAAATTATGGCTTTGAAAACCAACAGGGGGCATCCAGAACCACAGAACTGGAAAGAACAGAGAACGGACTTTAGGTTCACATACAAACTCACTCCACAACCTCGTGCAAAAAAGCAGCAGTCTGAAAAGCCTCTGGACTGTACGTGAAGGAAAGCCCCTTATTAATCCTAAAGGAACCTGAAAAGCAGGAACCTGCTGAGACTCTCTGGGGATGAAAGCGCAGGCAGATGCCATTTTCGCAATCTCACTTAACCTCGCTAATGTCTGTGCCGGCAGGAGCCATGCTGGCAACCCCACTCTAACCTAATGCCACTGGGCATGCTCTGCGCCCCCATGCCCCAGAGGGGCACAAAGGCACAGCTGGGGGGCAAGAGCCCCATGCACTACTGCCTCACCGTGCCGCAGCCAAACCACAACCAACCAGGTGAGCAGCCGCACCCAGAAATGCAACCTGTTGCCCAGCCAGTCAGGTGAGACCCCACCCCGGCTCCTTCATTCCTTCATTCCTGCTTCCATGGACTACAGACAGACAAGCACCCCACACCCATTCCACCCCAACCCACACACAGCTGACAGGTGTGTGAAGTTCACACAGGGGATGCCCCTCGAGCACATGGCTCCCTCGTACCTCTAAGCCCCAGAGAAAATCTTGTACACAGGGCCACTCCCTCAAGACTGGGAGAGGGAGTTATTTCAATACAAAAGAACAAGGCAACACCTCCGAAAAAGACTTTAATGAAATGGAGATAAGTAATCGACCTGATGAAGAGATCAAAGTAATAATGGTCATAAAGATGCTTACTCAGGAGAAGAATGAAAGAACACAAGGAGAACTTAACAAAGAGAGAGAAAATACATGAAAGTACCAAACAAAAATCACAGAACTGAAGAATAAAATTCCTGAACTGACAACTACCCACGAGGGGCTCAACAGTAGACTGGATGAAGAACAGATCACTAACCTGGCAGACACAGGAGAGGACTCACCCAGACAAGGGAACAAAAAGGAAAAAGAATTTTAAATAGTGAAAATAGCTTAAGGAACACAGAGGACAACATCAAGCAGAATAACATTCTCATTATAGGGGTCCCAGAAGGAAAAGAAAGGGGCAGAAAACTTATACAAAGAAATAATAGTTGAAAAACCTAACTTCAGGAAGGAAATCAACATCCAGATCCAAGAAGGTCAGAAAGTTCCGAAGAGATGAAACCAAAGAGAGTCACGCCAAGACATGTTATAATTAAAATGTCAAAAGTTAAAGAGAGAGTTCTTAAGAGTAGCAGGAAAAAAACAACTTGACACATACAAAGGAAACCCCATAGAGTTATCAGCAAATTTTTCAGAAGAAATGCCAAATTGACTGATGAGACATATTCGAGGTTCTTAAAGGAAAAAACTTACAACCAAGAATACTCTACCAAGGGGCACCTGGGTGGCTCAGCGGGTTATGCCTCTGCCTCAGGTCATGATCTCCGGGTCCTGGGATCAAGCCCCGTATCGGGCTCTCCACTCAGCGGGGAGCCTGATTCCCCCCCCCCCCCCCCACCCCCCCCCCCTCCCACTCCGTCAACCTTCCGTCAAATAAAAAAATAAAATTAAAAAAAAAAAAAAAAAAAGAAAGAAAGAATACTCTTCCAAGAAGGTTATCATTCAAAATAGAAGGAGAGACAGTTTTTCAGATAAGTAAAAGCTAAAGGAGCTCATGATCACTAAACCAACCTTATAAGAAATGTCAAAAGATGGGGGCACCTGGGTGGCTCAGTGGGTTAAGCCTCTGCCTTCGGCTCAGGTCATGATCTCAGGGTCCTGGGACAGAGCCCCACACCGGGCTCTCTGCTCAGCAGGGATCCTGATTCCCTCCCCCCTCTGCCTGCCTCTCTGCTTACCTGTGATCTTTCTCTCTCTAAAGTCTTAAAAAAAAAAAAAAAGAAATGTCAAAGGAACTTCTTTAAGCTGAATGAAAGACTACTGATAATGACAAGAAAACACAGTAAAGTAAAAATCTCACTGGAAAATATATTGTAAAGGTAGTACATTTACTCACTTATACAGCTAGCATAAAAGTCAAAAGAGAAAAGTGGTAAAACTAACTAAAACTATAATAATTAGTTAAGGGATATACAAAATGAAAAAGTATAAAATGTGACATAAAAACCATAAAATACAGAAGGTGAAATAAAAATGTAGAGTTCTGGAATGAGTTTCAATTAAGTTGCTACCAACTGAAAACAGACTGCTATATACATAGAATGGTATATGTGAACTCCTAGTAACCACAAAGAGAAAAACTTGTCACAAATATAAAAAGAAAATGAGAAAGGAATCTAAACATAACATTAAAGGAAATTAACAAACCAGGAGGAAAGAGAAAAGGAGAAGAAAGAAACAGAGAGTAACAACAAAAACACCCAGAAAACAATTAACCAAATGGCAATAAATACACACCTATCAATAATTACTTTAAATGTAAATGGACTAAATCCTTTAATTAAAGACAGAGAGTAGCTGAATGGATTTATAAACAAAAACAAGGGACACCTGGGTGGCTCAGTTGGTTAAGGATCTCCCTTTGGCTCAGGTCACAATCCCAGGGTTCTGGGATGGAGTCCCGCATTGGGCTCCTTGCTTATTAGCAGGGAGCCTGCTGCTCCCTCTGCCTGCCACTGCCCCTGCTGGTGCTCGCTCGCTCTCGCGCTCTCTGACAAAATCTTAAAAAAAGAACACACACAAAACCCAAAAAACAAGACTCATCTATACCCTGCCTACAAGAGACTCAGCTCAAAAGTGGGGCTTTTGAAATAAATCTAAAAACAAAACAAACAAACAAAAAAGAAGTAAGGACTGAGAGTAAAGGGATGGAAAAAGATATTCCATGTAAATGGAAACAAACAAAAAGCTGGTTTAGCTGAACTTACCCAACAAAACAGATTCTATTTTTATTTATTTATTTTTAAGATTTTATTTATTCATTTCAGACAGAGAGAGAGAGAAAGCACAAGCAGGGGGAGAGGCAGAAGGAGAAACAGACTCCCTGCTGAGCTGGTAGCTGGACGTGGGGCTAGATCCCAGGCCCTGGAGATCATGACCTGAGCCAAAGGCAGACGTTTAACCATCTGAGCCACCCAGGCACCCCAGCAAAACAGATTTTAAAACAGAATGTAATAAAAGACAAAGAAGGTCACTACATAATGATAAAAGGATCAACCTGGCAAGAAGATATACTATTATAAATATCTATGCACCCAACATAGGAGGACCAAAATATATAGAGCAAATATTAATAATCTTGAGGAAAAGATTGACAGCAATAGTAGGGGATTTTAACACTCCACTTAAACATCAATGATCACCTAAACAGATAATCTTTTTTTTTTTTTAAAGATTTTATTTATTTATCTATTTGACAGAGAGAGATCACAAGTAAGCAGAGAGGCAGGCAGAGAGAGGAGGAAGCAGGCTCCCCAACAAGCAGAGAACCCGACGCGGGGCTCGATCCCAGGACCCTGAGATCACGACCAGAGCCGAAGGCAGAGGCTTTAACCCACTGAGCCACCCAGGCGCCCCCTAAACAGATAATCTATAAGGAAACATCACCCGTACACAACACATTAGACCAAAAGGACTTAATAGATTTACACAGAACATTCCATCCAAAACAGAACATACATTCTTGTCAAGTGCACATGGAACATTCTCCAGGACAGATCATGGGTTAGGCCACAAAACAACTCTCAATAAATTTAAGACTGAAATCATATCAAGAATCTTTTCTCACCACAATGGTATGGAAACTAGAAGTCAATTACAAGAAAAAGAATGGAAAAAACACAAAAACGTGGAGATTAAATAACATACTACAACAATGGGTCATCAAAGAAATAAAAAGAAAAATTTAAAAATACCTAGAGACATGTGAAAACAGAAATACAACATACAAAAATCTATGGGATGCATTAGAAGCGGTTGGAAGAGAGAAGTTTACAGCAACACAGGCCTACTTCAAAACACAAGAAAAATCTCAAACAACTTAAGTTTAAACCTAAAGGAACTACAAAACAAAGAACAAATTAAACACAAAGTTAGTACAAGGAAAGAAATAATAAATATCAGAGTTGGGGTGCCCGGGTGGCTTAATGGGTTAAGCCTCTGCCTTCAGCTCAGGTCATAATCTCAGGGTCCTGGGATGGAGCCCCGAATCGGG